GCCCGACGCGGGGCTCGAACTCACGACTGTGAGATCATGACCTGGGCCGAAGTTAGACACTTAACCGACTGAGCCACCCAGGCGCCCCATTCTGTATACTCTTTTCACAGAAGGACAAACAATACGCAGAGAGAGTTAAATAACCCCAAGTAGACCTGAGATTCCAATCGGGTCTACCTCTGGAACCTACACTACTCACCATCATTATCACCTGCCTTCCCAGACAACCGATTTTTGCTCCTCCTCTTCAGCAGCTCTTCACCATAGCTGATTCCTGTTCCCCCATCCTCCAACCCTAACGTCATTCATAGGAGGGCTGGAGTCTGACTTACTCACTTCTCCATCCTCACAGCACAAGGTTATCTCACAGAGGCAATCCGCAGAGATGTTACTTACCACATAACCAAATGTGCCCCCAGCTCAGTTTTGTTACAGGGTGACCGCAGAGTACCATGGTCATCTGGACTCTGACAGTATATACCAGCATCCAAACAATAAACCTAACACAATACAAGATTCCTCCTCCAAAATGCAGACAGGTGAGTTTTCATCTAGTATTACAATTGGAAACACCCTTTACAATCAAGGAATCGGGAGGAAATAGGCATGAACAACTTGGACATAAATCTGTATTTGTTTCTCAAAGGAGAGAGTGATCCTTCAGATTACCACAGGGATCGCAGGAACCAAGAAAAGGTTAAGAAACTGTGAAGCAATCCTATACATCCCATTTTAAAATTAAACAAAGTAAGGCATGAAAAAGTGGCTTTCCCAAAGCCACACAACCAATTAGCACAAGGGGAGCCCAGAAAAAATGGTGTCAACGCCCCGAAGCTGTGGAATGTGTTAGAAATGCTATTTCTGGTTTCTGAATTTAGATCACTCAAACTTTGTTACCCAGATGCCATATTAAATAAAATAAAGCTAAAATAGAAAAGGTACCAGCCTAGTTACACAGAGTGACTCTCAACCCCAATCGTAACTGAAACTTCTTCAAAACCTTTTAAGCCAGCAATACTGAGAAGATGCATTCTTCTTGAGTCCTTTATCTATTTTTACAAAAAAGCACAAGTCTGAAAACAAACTGACATAATGGGCAGCTTAATGATTCGGTGCCTGGATACGTGGGGCAAACACAAGCTGCTAAGAAACGTCTTGTGATACAGTGACCTATAGGAAGAAATGTGTTTAGTCTTTGCCCCAGTTCCTGACACCAAGCTCCCGAAACCCTTGCAATTTCCTAAGTGTTAACAGCTATAAAAAATGAACAAGCCCCTTGCAACCACACCTCATTGTATGTTAATGAGGTGACTTTTAAAAAGCCACAATGGGGCGCCTGGGTGGTGCAGTCGGTTAAGCGTCCGACTTCAGCCAGGTCACGATCTCGCGGTCCGTGAGTTCGAGCCCCGCGTCGGGCTCTGGGCTGATGGCTCGGAGCCTGGAGCCTGTTTCCGATTCTGTGTCTCCCTCTCTCTCTGCCCCTCCCCCGTTCATGCTTTGTCTCTCTCTGTTCCAAAAATAAATAAAAAACGTTGAAAAAAAAAATTTTAAAAAGCCACAATAAAAAACCCCAAAAACACAGGGCTGGGAGAAATTTTCAGGTTTGAACCAGAACACATGCAAGTGTCAGGTGGGTGAGGACGCACCTCAAAGCTTCGCAGGGACAGAAATGCCAGACTTGGCCCTATGTATCTCTTCATCTGGCTGTCCGTTTACATCTTTTGATAGACCTTTTGTAATAAGCCAGTAATCTAGTAAGTAAACGGTCTTCTCAAGTTCTGGGTCATTCTAGCAACTGACTGAATCTGAGGAAAGGACTAGGGGTACCTCTGATTTGTAACCAAGTCAGAGAGAAGTTCTGGGTAACCTGGGGACCCATCATGAAACTGTCATCTGAAGACAGAGAGAGAGAGTGTGTGGAATTTTTCTTTTCACATCTCAAAGTACCAATCCAGTGAGCTTTGACAAAGAACCTATAACTTCATCACCTGAGGAGATTTCTAAACTACAGGCAGCGGCAAAGGGTAGTGGTAAAGTATCAACACCCCGAGGATAAAGGACCAAGTCTCAAATTCAAACTCTGTACTTACCTTAGGATTCCCTTAAAAGTAGGGACCCAAGGGAATTATCTAGAAATATGCACCAATAGGCAAATACAAGAATGCTCTTTACCGCTTATTCCTACAAGCCTAAAACTAGAAGGAACCCAAAGGTCTACAAATAGGAAAGTGTGTCAACTGTGGTGTATTCACATCACTGGTGAAAACCAAGGAACCCACACAGCATCACGAACGAATCTCACAGACACGACATTGCATAAAAGAAGTCCAACATGGCGTGCCTGGATGGCTCTATGGTGAAGGTGAAAACAGAAACGCCCCTATGGTAATGTATCTAGCCACACACTTAGGATTTATGCGTGCATGTGTATTAAATATGATAATTTAATAAAATTAAAGTTTAAGATATTGTTTATGTTTTAATCTACCATATACGTATATATTTATTTTTTTTATTTTTTTTTAACATTTATTTATTTTTGAGACAGGGAGAGACAGAGCATGAATGGGGGAGGGTCAGAGAGAGAGGGAGACACAGAATCCGCAACAAGCTCCAGGCTCTGAGCTGTCAGCACAGAGCCCGACGCGGGGCTCGAACTCACGGACTGCGAGATCACGACCTGTACCAAAGCCAGATGCCTAACCGACTGAGCCACCCAGGCGCCCCAATATACGTATATATTTAATATAGTAAATATTATCATTAATATCAACTAAGTTCATATTAATATGTAAACTTATTTGTGTATTAACTTATATTCTAATTCAACTACCAAAAACGTTTTTAATTGCTTAAAGAAAAGTAAAAAGACAGGGAGCCTGACTGGCTCAGTCAGCTGAACACCCCACTCTGGATTTCAGTTCGGGTCATGATCTCTTATGGTGGTGATATCCAAGCCCTGTGTTGCACTCTGTGCTGAGGGTGGAGCCGGCTAGAGACTTACTCTCACTCAATCTCTCTCTCTCTCTCCCCCTCCCTCCCTCTCAAAAAAAAAAAAAAA